TTTCTTCTTTTCTTTTCTCCTTCCTTCTCTCCTTCCTTCCTTCCTTCTTTCCTTCCTTCCTCCCTCCCTCCCTCTCCCCCCTCTTTCTTTCTTTCTTTCCTGGAATCTCACTCTGTCACCCAGGCTGGAGTTCAGTGGCACTATATCGGCCCACTGCAACTTCAGCATCCTGGGTCCAAGCGACTCAAATTGCGAAGTAGCTGAGACTACAGGTGCACACCAACACGCCTGGCTAATTTTTGTATTTTCAGTAGACAGGGGTTTCACCATGTTGCCCAGGTTGGTCTCAAACTCCTGACCTAAAGTGATCCACCCACCTCGGCCTCTCAAAGTGCTGGGATTACAGGCGTGAGCCACTGTGCCTGGCCTAAAATTTCTAAATCTATAATTAGCATAACAGTCAAAGCTGTGCATGGTGAGACACACTTGTAATCCCAATACTGTGAGGCTGAGGTCAGCAGATTGCTTAAGGCCAGAAGTTCAAGATGAGTCTGGCCAACACAGTCTCTAAAAAATGAAAATAAACAAAGAAAAAGGAAAAAAGTCAAGAGAGAAAGCATATAAAATGCTCCTCACTTCTCCACTTCCATGTTTTTATAACCATTTATCTATCTGTCTGTCTGTCTGCCTGCCTATCTGTCTGTCTATATGTCTATCCATCTAAGACAGGGTCTCCCTATGCTGCCCAGGCTGGTCTTGAACTTCTGGGCTCAAAGGATCCTCCTGCCTTGTCTCCCAAAGTGCTAGGATTACAGGCATGAATCACCACACCTGGCCAACCTTTTAAAATTAAATAATCTACTATTAAGTTTTTTAGTAGAAATTCAATTTGCAATGTCTTAAATCTACAACAATTAAAAAGGCACCTGCTTTCAACAAAAACTGCTGGGACATTTGGTTATCCACATGCAAAAAGTTAACCTTAGAACCTCATCTCACACCATAAACAAGAATTCAAAATAGATCACAGAATTAAAGAGCTAAAATAATAAAACATTTACAAGAAAACATAAAAGAAAACATTTGAGACTTGGGCTAGGCAAAGATTTCTTACCTATGACACCAAGAACATAGTCCATAAAATAATTTTAAAAACTAACAAATTGGGCCTCATGAAAATTCAAAACTTTTATACTTCAAAAGACACAAGAAAATGAAAATACACACAGACTGGAAGAAAATATTTGCAAAGCATGGCCATTAAAGGATCTGTATCCAGAATTCACAAAGAATTCTCATAACTCAACTTATAAGATGACAAGTAAACCAATTAGAAAATGAGCAAGAGATACAAACAGACATTTCATCAATGAAAATATATAAATGACTAGAAATTACATGAGACGATTGTTCAGCATCATTAGTCCTTAGGAATATGCAAAGCTAATGCCTCAAGGAGATATTATTTCACACCCACTGGAATGGCTATAATAAATCAGACAGACAATAACAAATGCTGGCAAAGATACAGAGAAAAGGGAATTACCATACATCATTGATAGAACTGTTATAAAATAGTGTGACCATTTTGGAAAAGCATGGAAGCTTCTCAAAGAGTAAAACATAAAACTATGATATGACCCAGCAATTCTACTTCTAGGCATCTACCCAAGGTATATGAAAATGTATGTCTACACAAAGACTTACATGTGAATATTCATAGTTCCTTATTTGTAATAACCCAAAACTTGGAACCATGACCATCAACTGGTTTTGTATAAACAAAATGTGGCATATTCACACAATGGAATATTATTCAACTATAAAAAGGAATGAACCTAATGGCACATGCTATGCCATGCATGAACCTCAAAAGCATTGTTAAAGAACAAAGGTCTTTTTAGACCTTTAGACAAAGGTCGGGTGCAGTGGCTCACGCCTGTAATCCCAACGCTTTGGGAGGCCCAGGTGGGTGGATCACAAGGTCAGAAGATCAAGACCATCCTGGCCAATACGGTGAAACCCAGTCTCTACTAAAAATACAAAAATTAGCTGAGTATGGTGGTAAGCGCCTGTAGTCCCAGCTACTCGGGAGGCTGAGGCAGGAGAATTCCTTTAACCAGGGAGTCGGAGGTTGCAGTGAGTTGAGATCGTGCCACTGCACTCCACCCTAAAGACAGAGGGAGACTGTCTCAAAACAAATAAATCAAAATAAAAAGCTAGACACAAAAGATGATATATTGAATGATCACGTTTATGAAGAAGTACCTAGAAAAAGCAAACTTATACGGGTAGAAAACAGATTCGTGATTTCCTGGGACTGAGAGCAGGAAAGAGATTAACTGTAATGGGTATAAGGAATCTTACTGTGGTGCTCTCAAACATCCTAAAACTGATCTATAATGATAGTTGCAACATTTGGTAAAATTCGTAAAAATCACTAAATTGTACACTTAGAATGGATGAATTTTATATGTAAAATATACCTAAATAAAGCTGTTTACTTTTTTTTTTTTTTTGAGACAGAGTCTTGCTCTGTCGCCCAGGCTGGAGTGTAGTGGCACAATCTCAGCTCACTGCAACTTCTGCCTCCCAGGTTCAAGCAATTCTCCTGCCTCAGCCTCATCAGTAGCTGGGATTACAGGCACCTGCCACCACATCTGGCTAATTTTTGCATTTTTAGCAGAGACAGGATTTTACCATGTGCTGGTCTCAAACTCCTGACCTCAAGTGACCCACCTGCCTCAGCCTCCCAAAGTGCTGGGATTAACAGGCATGAGCCACTGTGCCAGGGCAATAAAGCTGTTCTCTTTATAAAAAAAAAAAAAAAAAAAAAATGGCTTTTTGTTTCACCTGTCCCTTGAAGAATTAAATGAGTAACTGTAGACTGTAGCAGTTTCTGTAATTTTTATTAAACAATTGTACTGATCCTAATCTTGGATAGGAAGCCACAGTATCACTTTTGAGAGGATCTAGCACAGTGTTAGGAAAACTCCTTCAACTCGTTCACTGGACAGAGGTTTTCCAGGAAAAGGATTTCTCATAAAGTTCCTTCTGTTCATTTATATTTTAAGAAGCCAGTGCCTGGAGACAGCTCAAAAGTATACACAAGAGATTTGTCTTTGACAATGGGCTTACTGATCTCATGGGTATTCTACTCTACCTTCATATTACAAAACAAGAACTTAAAAAGACAAGTAAAAAGTTTTAACACAATTTTAAAGGACATAGGGTTAAGTTATATAACTTTGAGAGTGTACATGTCCAAATGCCAAAGGCACTGTTTGCTTGTGCAACTGTATAAAGTTGTAACACAATAGTCCTTAGTAATGATATTAAATGACAAATAACATTACAGGCGTTAATCCAATCCCTGGATCTTCCTGTATTCATCCTAAACACCTTCTAAGTGTCCACTCGACTTATAAGGTCTTTCAAAAATAACCCAGGACTTCATAACCCTCACAGAACGACAAATAATTTTGCAAACTTTTTACTTCTTTGCAAAAATACCACCTTGTCTGACCACCTTAGTGAAAACTGCCAATCTCACAAAACTCCCTATCTTCCCTTCCCTGATTCATTTTTCTCAATAAAACTAAACATACCTTTTACATATATTCTGATTACTGTCTTCTCCTACTAGGATGTAAGTTCCAAGTAAAGATTTGCTTTTTTCCTTGCTGTATCCTCATTGCCTAGAACAGTGCCTACCACGTTGCAGGTGCTCTTGAACAAATGAATGGGTATTAAATATATGCAAGAAAACAGGAGCTGATCCTTACCACAGGAATGAACAATGAGTCTCTTCTACTTATTCAACAGCCTTGACTTGGGTTTAAAACATGAATTTTACAAGGAAACAGAGACCTCCGAATACAACTTCCAGACTGCCTACCCAGCATTTCTTCAGCAAAGAGAGAGTAAAAAAAAAAAAGCCAATGTTTCACTTATAATTCTGGATTTGCAACAATCAGAGTATTTTTAATAGACTGTCTCTATTCTGTAGAGAGGGCAGGTTAATTAAATCCCATGTGACTAATTAATGGAAAAAAAAATGAAGGTTCAATACTTAACTATCCTTTTTATTACTTAACTCTAATAAAGTATAACATTTCAAAGACAGCCTGTTTTTCTACACCCAAAACGGGATCCTATCTTCATGAAGACATACCTTAGCAAAACGACCTCCTCAGCCTCAAAACCGCCAAACACCAAGGAAGCTTTTTCTCTCCCTTATCCCAGAAGTCTTCCCCATAGCCATTTTACAAACACAACCACCTTCAGACCTCTTTCTAATTAACCTGTGATTCAATCCAGCTGCATTCCAGCGTTTAACAACACCCCGAGAAGAAAGACTCACAACCTCAGGCCCTGGAGCATCCCCTAAGCAGTCACCCCCACCAACCGAGAGCCCTGGAACAAGAAGGAATCTGGGGATGGCAGGGACCTTCCAGCAAGACCAGAATTGGAGGACATCTTAGACTTCACCCTGGCACTGCCCATTTCTGTGTGACCTTGGGCATGTTACTACACCTCTAGGGGTCCTAGTTTTCCCACCGTTAGGGTGAGGACATGTTGACCAAGTCACTGCAAAGATTCAATGACATCCCATGCAAAGCACCCAACAGGGCACCCGGCACGAAGCGGCGCCTCAGTCCTCAGTAGCACGGATGATCCCCGGCCCTCCGCCTACAGTCTCCGAGCTGGGAGGCGCCTCGCGGACCCAGCTCTGAGAGGACAGGTGGGCACTGAGGTCCAGAGAAGACAGAAGTGCCCCGCTCCGACCTCCAGAAAGGCAGATGGGCGCAGGACCTGGAACCCAGGACGCCCGTCCTCAGCCCACACTCCCCCACCTTCCCCGGATTCTGCGGGGCCCGGACGCCCGTGCCGGACGAGGCGGTGCGCGCCGCCCTCCCGGGGCCCCAGCTCCGCGCGGCTGGGGCCGCTCCACCTGCCGCCGAGCCCCGCGCCCGCCCGCGGCCCGGGGCTCCCGCCGCTCCACCCGGCCTCCCGCGAGCCACGCAGCGCCGCGCGGCGGGCCGGAGCGCGTACTCAACTCTTCACTTTGCCGAAGGTGCCGACGCCCAGCGTGTCGCCCAGCACGTAGTGTCCGATCTTCACCCGCCCGTCGTGCTTCTGCTTCTCAGCCATCTTCGGCGCGCGCGGCCTCGCTCCGCCGCCTGCCGCTCCGCGCCGCCGCCGCCGCCGCCGCCGCCGCCTACCCACAGTGCAGCGGGCCCTGGGGCGGGGGGGGCCAGCGCGCGCGGAGCCGCGAGGGGCGCGGGGTCCCGGGAGGGGGCGCTGGGCTAGCCAGGCCCAGGTGGGAAGCGCCGGGCGAGCGGCCGGCGGGGCGGGGCCGAGAGGGGGAGCGCGGAGAGCCTGCGGCGGAGCCCGAGACGGCGACGGCGGGGGACGGCAACGCGGGGCGCTGGGCGGGAGTGCGGGAGGGGCCGCGCCAGGTGCGCGGGGTCCGAGTGAGGGGAAGAAGCGGCAGGTGCTGCGAGGGGGTGGGCCGGGGCCGCGACGGAGGCAGGGAGCCCTTTTTGAGGAAAACCGAAGGGAGTAAATGGGAAGGTGACACTGGGGCCCGATCCTAGGAAATGGAAAGACGTGGAAGTCGAACTGGAAGAAGAGAGACCGGCCTTGGGTGTGGGGAGCGAGGGGCTGTAAAAGGGAAAAGGCGGGAGGGGAGGCGGCGGGAAGGGCCCTGGTCAAAGGGCAGGAAAGCCTGCAGGAAGCTCCTCCAGTCTCGTCTGAGGCTTTTGGATACAGGTCGCGGCGCAGGGAGAATGCACACAGCTCCGTGCTCTCTTGAATTGCCCTCCTGTACTGACTCTGCAATTCCCAATTATTTTGTCCTGTAGAAGAAAGAGCCCCTCTCCTCCAGAGCTCTCAATTTTAACTAATTTGCCCACGGTTTTCCAAAAAACCTCAGTCACGGTATTTGCTCTAGTGCATTTTAGCACATGCTTATATACATATGTAGTTTTACCTCGCGCTTACATAAACATATAGTACCCAAATGTGGTAGAGCTGCACGAGAGGGAAATGGGAAAGACATGAAAAGGTAAACAATATTCTGCCCCCAGAAAGTAAAATACGTGAGTGACAGTGGAATTGTGAAGGGCGAGGGCAATACAAGGTCACATTTTAAAGGAAGAATAAATGTGATATAGAAGTGAAAAGAATGATAAGAGGAAATTAGAAGCATGATGCCTAGGCAGTGTGTTAAGAGACTGACCTCCCCTCCTCCCCTAAAAAGAAAAAAGACTGGCAAGGAATTTGGTAATAAAGTGATTATCTCTGCCTCACTTCCTTGTTTCCTACCCTTCCTTCCCTCCTTTCCTTCCTTCCTTTAATTTGTTGTCCATTCTTTAATGTTATTCTTTCAGTGATTAAAGTTTATTTGCTTCTCAACACACACACAAAAAGATTAGTAGGTAATATGTGTGTTAATTAGCTTGACTTACAGCCATTCCGCAATATATATATTTCAAAACATATACATACTAAATATAATTTTTGTTTGCCAATGAAATAAAAATTTTAAAACAGTAAAATATTGCTGTTTGGGGATAAGTAATTAAGGATTAGTCAAACATTTATAGCATTGCATGCCAATAGAGTTTCAAGGTCACATTCCTCAAACATGAAGTCTGTTGAACCCTGTTTATATGTAAATTAAAATGTATTGATCAAAAAGAATAGGACGCAACAAAACTTTGTTTTCTGAGAAGTACTAAATATAGAAATTTCAAACATTCTCATCTAGATATCAAGACAATCTGATGAGAGATGTTCACAGCTTATAAATTATAGATATCACAGCTGTTAAACAGAGGCTATTTTTGTTCATTCTTCAGATCATTTTTCTTGCTGACAAGAAGTATCATTTAGGAATCACTCTACCTAGCTGGCAATTTTGAGAAAATAGCCAGTTATTTTTGTGCTGAGCTTTCATTTGGTTAAGGGTCATTCCTTCAGTATTCAAGTGAGTGAGAAAAGACCTATTCTGCTTTTGAGATATGAGATATATATGTCTCCTAATATCCCCTTAAAGATGTTGAAAAGTCTTCACTTTTAAGTTAGATTGCTTTCTTGAAGCTACATGAAGACTAATGTAAATTGAGATTTTAAAGCATTTCGTACTGTCTTAACTATTGGTTTATAAATACTATAAATTATTATATACTTAATAACTATGATTCTTACATAGCTACTGTGGACTACCTTAATAGTTTTATTATTATGTGAAACGTCTATGGTACTTTGTTGGTTAAGAAGTTCATGTAAACACAATTATCTCATTTAATGGTCATAAAAGAAAGATAGAAAGATTATTATTCCCATTTTATAGATGATAAAACTTAGTTTTTCCTTTTCTGATTTGCCCAAGGCTAAAATGTGGCAGTCAAAACTCATATCCAGTTCTGACTTGTCCTTCAGTCTCCCTACTATACCACAGCTGCCTATACAAAAAGAATGTATGGTGCTTTAAGAAAATTAAAAATTGTCATAGTTGTGGTTTCATTTTCATATTTTTATTATTTATTGGGCAGTCCAATAATGTCGCCTATAAACTTGTAAGTATTTAAACTACTTTTTGTTATTTTTCTGGCTTTTATTTAAAGGAAATGTTGAATGCTAAATGGATAAGAACAACTCTTGGTGGCAGCACTTAGCCTTCTCTTGTCCTGGACACCAGATATGGTTCCATATTTGCCTTATCCTAATCAGCAATAGAAAATCCAACAGTTAATCAGACTAGATCTCCTTAAGAGTCATGCCCCTTGGAGGTCTCACCCCTAAAGATGTTCTGGTAAATGCAATGTTCCCATTTTATTATCTTCCAATGAAGGTTTCACCCCCCTATAGTTTAGTACCAATCTCTAAGACTGGTGCCCCAGGCAGGTGTTCAGTTCTTAGCTCTGATCCAACTATTACTGCTTTACCTTCCTACTACTGAAATTTTGGGGTTGTTTTACTTCAAATGTTCTAGAATAAGGCCTGAATAGGACATTAATGCAGGACCACTAAACTCACATACTGTATTAGACACCCTTGGTATTATGAGCAACCAGTTCTTTCATGTCATTGCTCACAGACACCTTCTTGGTGAAGCCTACCCTGGCCACCCTATTTAAGTTGCAGTTTCATATTATTTTTTTTTTTTGTAATTAAATTTTTTTTTTTTTTTTATAGACAGAGTCTCACTATTACCCAGGCAGGTCTCAAACTCCTGGACTCAAGTGATTCTCCTGCATCAGCCTCCCAAATTACTGGGATTTATAGGCATGAACCACTTCGCCAGGCCTAAATTGCTGTTTTATCTCACTCATGCTCCCTGCATTGTGCTCTCCATCCCCGACCCTCCTTAACTTTTTTACATAGCACTAGCCTTCTGACATACTATTTATGTGCTTATCATATTTTTGTTTTGTCTGTTCTCCCAATTGGAATCTAAACTTCATAAAAGAAGAGAGGGGTTTTTTCTCCATTTTGTTCACTGATATATATCCTTAGCTCTGGGGACAGTGCCAGGCAAAATTTATACATCCAAGCAGATTCAGATAATATGGCAGCTGAAGTTTATACAATGTGGGGGAACCTGTTAAGGAAAAAAAAAAATGAAAAATTGGGTATGAAAGTGAGCGTTTGTTTGAAATGAAAAACAACTATCTACAAATTTATAAAAGCTGACAAATGCCACAAATATCCCCAAATCCAGAGAAATAACAGTATTTTTTATAAATTAATCATCCAGCATACGTCTATAATACCTGTTTTCTACATTTTTTTGGCTGTATTCTCTGATTACCTCTTCATATTTTATAAATTTTTAAATAGAATACAAAGATAATTCTGACATTAAGCATAATTCATCAAGTTTTTCATTATATGTTTCTTTTTAGATTTTCCATTGTACATGTTTAATATAGCTAATATAGCATTTATCAATTCTATTATCATATACATCATACATACATGTTGATATATACATATATGTATTTTTATTTAAATGTAATATATGCAAATGATATGTTCATACCCCACCTGCTGTTCTTGGAGCCTAGTGAAACCTGGTATATCAAAATATTTGCTAAATTGAATTTTAAAAAGGGTTAGTTACTAAGCTAGAGAATCAAGTAACAACAATACAGGGAAGAGTGCAGTTTTATTTTATGTATGCACATATTAAATGCAAAGCATAATTTTAAATCTCAGCGCAGCAGTCATTAGCGAGGTTAGAGAGGCAAGGGTTAGCATCTTAGAAATATATAGATTCATTTTATAGGGCTTCTATGGTTGTCTCCAATTTAAAATAAAAAAGTTGGACACTTGATGAGTAATGAAGCATGCTTATGGTATTTTACAGGAAGTACAAACTCAATAATTACATTTTTTTAAATTTCATATGAAAAACTTCAAACATACACAAAAGTAGAGTAGCATAAATAACCCTAGCATCTGTGATAATTAACACTGTCAGCATTTACCAATCTATCTCTGCACTTTTAAAATTTATTTTCTGGAGGATTTTTTGTTTTATTTTTTTTGAGACAGATTCTTGCTCTTTCACCCAGGCTGGAGTACAGTGGCACAATCTCGGCTCACTGCAGCCTCTGTCCCCTGGGTTCCAACGATTTTCCTGCCTCAGCATCCTGGGTAGCTGGGATTACAGGTGTACGCCACCACACCCAACTAATTCTTGTATTTTTAGTAGAGACAGGGTTTTGCCATGTTGGCCAGGCTGGTCTCGAACACCTGACCTCAGGTGAGCCAACCACCTCAGCCTCCCAAAGTGCTGGGATTACAGGCGTGAGCCACTGTGCCCTGCCCCTGGAGTATTTTAAAGTAAATAAACAGATTATTTTGCTGGTAAATACTTCATTACATAGGTCTAACAGATAAGCATTTCTTTTTAGCACAAGCATATCATAGCTAACAAAATTAACACTAATTACTTACCGTTATGAAATAGCCACTCTGTGCTGAATATCCCTTGATTGTCTCAGGCATGTAGTTTTACAATTGGCTTATGCTAATCAGGACCAAAAAAGTCACACTTACCATTTTGTTGATACATCTCTTTTAATCTAGAGTGATTTTTCCTCCCACTCTTTTTTAAAAAATGTCATCTATTTGTTGAAACATCCAATCATTTTAACTGTTGAATATTCCAGTCTTGTTGGATTTATCTCAATAATTATTCATGATTACAAGAGGTAGTAGAGAAAGCT